AAATTTTCTAAAGGCGACTTGGGCGCCAATATACACTAATTTTCAGGGGGGAGCACGCGCCGAAAACAGCGCAATTTTTGTCAAAAATTTCCAAAAAGTGCCTAAAAACGCCTTTTTTGGACTGTTTTTTCAAAGTTTTACCTGCGGCGCAGAAAATTTTGTCAAAATAGGGACAAAACAGTGCTTTGGGAGAGCTCAAAAAATTAATTTATATTACCTAAAAAAAATTTTTCGACCTCGAAAATTTTTGGAAATCCGCCCCCCCCCCCCCCCCCCCCTCGAGGAATTCCTATATCTGCCCCTGGTGCTCATTTAAGTTCTGATCGACTCCTCTTCTTTGAATTGTAAAATTCAATTTCAATAAAATCCTTAATTTAATAACAATTTTTTCAGGCAAGAAAAATCCAACACGGTGATAATAGTTTTCTTAAACAAAAGCAGAAACATTGTCGGTGTATCCAGTGGATCCTTGAGACACACAAGGAAAATCAAGTTGCTCACCGCGCAAATTGTGAACGCCCGCCCCCTATTTGTTTTTCTGGGTAGTGATTTTCGATAAATTAAACCCAGTCGTATGCAAACTTGGTATTTTCAACGAAAAATTTGAAACATACTGTGAGGCGGAGATTTGTGATTTTGGGACAGTAATTTAGGAAATTTAGTGAACTGAACAAAAAACAGAGCTGATTGTTTCTGTAACCTTCCGTAGCTCTAAAAAAATAGAGATATCTGAAAAAAATTCTTCAATATTGTCCTACTCAAGCGGTTATCGATAGTTTTTTAATCAAAATGAATTCTAGCCAGGCGAAGAGTATTGTCTTATAAAAAATAAATTTAATCTATATAATATATACTATTACTATTTTTAATAGCATCCGTATACTATACTTTGTTTATAAGATGGCCGAAATCTAGTGAGAAAACAGGGAAGAGGCAGCCGAAAATTAATTCAGTTTTAATCTTGAGTATACCATCGACACATGGCAAATATTTCAGAGGCACAGTTTCTTCACATTCAGGGAACAGACTTAGTGCGTCCCTCTCAGGTTACTCAGGTCTGTCGGTCATTTTCGATTTCTTTGAATTGGGCTCTGTTTGATGACTACCTGTTTGATAACTACCTGTTTGATAACTATAATCAGGTAGTCATCGAACAGAGCCCAAGTCGAAGAAATCGAAAATGACCGACAGACCTGAGAAACCTGAGAGGGACGCACTAAGTCTGTTCCCTGAATGTGAAGAAACTGTGCCTCTGAAATATTTGCCATGTGTCGATGAAATACTCAAGATTAAAACTGAATTATATTTTCTTTATTGATTTGTGATCTTCAGCCTCGAAAATTTCTAATACGAATCACTTTAATGACTTATGGTTCAAACAGTGGGTTTTGGGGGGCAGTTTCCCAAATACTGAGTAATCTTTGACGGGTTGTGGTGAGCAGTTTTCACATGGGGCAGTTACCACATGTTCTCAAATTATGAGAAATCTTAAGTTGGTTCTGAGGGGCAGTCGCCCCAAATACTGAGAAATTTTTGGTTGGCTGTGGGGGCATTTGTCATAAATACTGAGAAATCTTTGGTTGAAGGGAGGATAACTGTCCCAAAAGCTTAAGTGTTTAATAACTCTCTCGTAAGCTTTCTATAGTTTTCATTTGCCGGGCTGAAATACAAAAGGACTCATTTTGAGTTCGATGGAGTAAGAAAAGGGCAATCTGACTAGATGCTTCGTTGGATACTGAAGAAAACACATTCAAAATGCCTGCCGTTTTGGTCTCTCTGTAAAGTGAGGATTTCCCAAAGGTTAGGATTGTAACATTTTTTTTCAGTTTTTCATTTTCGTTTTCAGAGTGCTGGTTCTCAATCTGTACAATTTTTAGACCAAAGATGGGACTTTGAAAAAATGGAACATCGCATTTGCCAAACGTTTGCCGTTTTTTTTTGCCAATCAAAAGAGCGGTTGGTTGCATGCGAAAGGAAAGACACTATTTCCCAATCGATTGAGCAACGGATATCTCGTGAAGGGCTATTGGAATCAGCGGCAAATCCTTGTGCGACAGGTATCTAGGAACGATAAAAGCAAGAGTTTGGGGAAGTCTCAAATCATGGGATTCAATTTTTGATCAAAAATATGTGACCTGTTACCAGCACTAACAGGCGAGAGGGACACTTCGATAAAACCCTCCGCTTCACTGACCACACAGATTTCTTAACTCGGACAATTTGTTGTCAAATTACTGCCTCTGATGGTCGATATGCCATGAAGAGTTACAAAAGAGACGTATATATGAGCAATACGATAGCAGCCAGTCAGGGCTACTATTAAATTGATTGAAACTCTGAAAAACTTAATCACAAAGATCTATCCTTGCATGTTTTAGTAAAACTATGATTTCTGATTATTTCGTCCTGGTGTTTTTTTTGCTGAATAAGTGTTAAAATCGCCATACTTTGATTATGGTGGTTGACTTTTAGTTTTGCCTTATCAGTACTACAAGCGACGCTAAATCACAAGTATCAATCTAATAATTCATTTTTTTCTAACATATTTAAATGTCAACATTTCAGTATTTATCATTTCAATGATTTTCATTGCATGCGGAGGTGTGTATAGTTTTAAATCATTTTTTTGTGTAAGTATTTTCAGTCTTATTATTCGGTCAAGTTTTCTTCGAAGATTCTTTTTCGCTCAAGCTTGGTTCGAATAATTTTTATCCGCCAAACCCTAGTCGAAGTTTTCGAACTTGAGTCTGATTAGAAGTTTTTTCAGTCAGGTGACTCGAATCATAGATTTTTTTGGTCGAATGCTTCGAATCACAATTTTTTTGGGTCGAATAGGTTCGATTACAATTCGACCAGTTCGATCCGGGTTAGGTCAATCATCTCTTGGTGCTAATTGTTCCTGGCAGGTGGCCTTTGCCGCTGCCTGTCACTTCGGTTGACGTGGAACACTACTCTTGCTAAACTTTGCAAGATTAAATTAGTTATACTTTTGGAAAAATATTTTGTTACTGATTAGCGTTTCAAGAGTTTTCTTACGGGTTGTAAAAGGGAGCACTTTGTCACTAACAGGTGCAAATTTATCATATGCCTACTCGTTGACTTATTTCTTTATAGGGGGAGATTCATTAATAGGTACCCCAAGGGGGACCTTGTTAAAGAGATCCACGGGTTCGTATAATTTAAAAGAACTATTATAAAAATTAAAAGAAGTAATTTTTTTCAAATTAATGAGCTATTTACAATGTTAATGAGCCATTGGTGTTACACGATGTTGTCTTGCTAGGAAGTTCTGCAGCACGTAGGCGTTTTTCTACTAATTCAATAAGCTCACCGGCTTCCACAACTGCGGTCTATTTCTAGAGCTTAATCTTTGAAAAAAGAGAGGGCTCCACCGCAAATATAACTCTTTAACATAGTGCAGAAAGCGAAACTCTTGTTCGGCTAAGTTTTTGTTAAGGTTGTAGCTACTTGGCTGTTGTTAACTTTAAAATCGAATTAAAATCTCTCTAGTTTATGTCAACAAATGGTTCACACAAAACTTGTTCTAAATTAAACAATTGCTCAAAAAGATATTTTTTGTTTGGCTGAAAAAAAAACTAATCAAAATCAAATTAATTTCCTTTTTGGTTCAGGAAGAATGATGTAGCTGACTCTGTTTTTTAGCGGGTAGGACTATCATGTCAGTTTTTGAGGCAATATGTTGTATAAATAAAGATATGGTTTGTGGAATAAGTATGCATGTCGCATTGTTTTTTTATATTCTAGAACATGACAAAATGGTTTTTTAAATTGATCTTTGGATTCTGCATAATTATCTTTTTAACGTGGTCATTTTTTTTAGCTCGAGTAATGAAATAATTGAGACAATGCTCTTCGTGTTTTAATCTCCCTCAGCAGTTAAGACAATTGTTTTAACTGCTGAGGGAGGAAGATGCCTTCCTCAGCAATTTAGGCAATTGTCGTAAATGCCGAGGAGGGGGTTTTAACATGAACGGTTTTCTCTCATTAGCAAGTGAGGATAAAAGGGAGTTCTTAGGTCTCTTTCGTGGAAGCATTTACAGTCTCTAAAACAAGCAAAAGATGTGTCCATGGAATCCAGGTGCAAAAAGCACAAATATATGCTTAGTTATAAAACCAAATCTGGCGTCAAAACTTCAAGCGTAAGAATCGAGGAAGTTTTCAGTTAATCAAACCACCAGCGGGATTAAGGGGGGGGGGTGCGGAAGTCCCTTTCTTTTCAAAACTTTCCAAAAAAGTGCCGACAACGCCTTTTTGGTCTATTGTTCAAAGTTTTTCCTTCGGCGCCAAAATTTTTGGCCAAAACAGGGTCTTCTTAGTGCTTTGGGGGAGCTCGTAAAACTATTTTAGTAAACTTAAAAAAGGTCGACAAAAATTTTGATTTTGTTTGAAAATCCGACCCCCCTCCGACCGCTCTCGAGAGTCCGCCCCTGAACCAAACTGTTAAACGATGAATAAACTTGGAAAACTGCGTCTCAATTTTGAATCCGATTAGTTTTCCTGAAAGATATTTTTTCTCGTTATATTAAGCATATTTTCAACCCAGTATCCTTAGATAATGTTTCGCATACAATGATATCGCAAAGTATCAACAGCAAACTAATTAAGTTGCTGGCTCCTAAGTTTGTTTTGTTATTATGTTTCATCTTCCTTGCAGATATTATAATGATAAAATTTGATGGTTAGAGCTAAGCTGAAAATTCGAAAAATTCAAACTACAAATAGCCCCACAAAAAAAGTTACGCGTGAAACGTCTTAGCATTATTGAACTCAGGCCGTGAAGATCCTTTGTATAATAAACAAGTTTCTCACAAAATAAATTTCTGATTTAAAAATGGACTGATAAAATCAACTCGAAGAATCGGGAAAAATTAATAAGTTTTTTATGATAACTGATGCGAACTTCAAAGTCTTCAGTTTCAATAACCTTTTGTATCAAACTGGTATTTTACAGAGTTCAATGCAAATCAGTAACTTAACTTCAAAATATCAACAAGCTCTTATTTGAGCGAACCATATTTATTATTCTATTGCGAACATTGCTGAATTGGTTAACAGATTTATACCGCTCACTAACCTGTTGTTTTTTTTCCATGAAACTTGCATTATTGATTGTCGCAGTTTTTATAAATGCTTGCGAAATTACTCCTCAGTTTATAACGAGATGTCCATATGTGAAACCTGTCTACGTCACTGAATATCTGCTGAGTGGCAGGTGGGTAGGAAAAACCTTCGATCGATAATTTAAAGACATTTTTGTACAAGTTTTTGCCATAAGTCTGCATTTCATAATACAATTTTCTTATATTTAATTTCCGTAACTGTGTCAAATCAATTTGCTTCTGAAAATTTCTTTCAATTTTAATTTTTTTTTGGGTGATTTACACACGTGCACATCTGATTTGTAGGACCATAGATAATTTGATGAATTTAGCTCAGAGTTGTAAATACTCAAGTTTACTATATATTTTAGAGTTGTATGTGTTCAAGCTTTTTGTTTACTTAGTTTTTGTTTATTTGTTTTGACCCCGTGTGTTGTGCGTGTGTAGGTGGTATATGGTGAGGAGGTCTCTCGCCTATCCGTATCCCAACCGGCTGGTGAACTGCAGATGGGACATCGGTTATGACCCCGACTGCAGAGCACTCGACATGGCCACACATTACGACCACACTGGTAAGTGTTAAAAGGTTCCGAGGGTGTAAAATGTTCCAAGTGTGTAGCTGCCCTTTTCTCAGAATTGGATCAAATCAAAAAAATCTGAATCTGTTCAAAAATGAAAACAAAAATTGTCATAAGCTGCAAAAAAATTCAAAAAAAAAAGCTTTAAAATATCCTTGTATTCTTACTATTGCTTTGAATGAAATACTATTGTATATTGATTGCTTGCTATTTTCTATTATAACGTGAATGGACGGCGAATTATGTCGAATCACTTTGAAATAAGGCAAGATAAAAGCTCCAAACAAAGCGAAATACATCTTTTTTATTTGGCGACTTCAATTTGATTTTTTTAATTAATCAAAACATTTACAAAAATATCTTTCAGACACACAATAAAACGTGCTCGTAGTTTTGTGGGTTTCGCCCAAAAGTTTAGGAGCAGCATTGCATTTAAATGTGTTTTTTTTCTTGGTAACTTTAACTCCAAGTACCAAAATGAAACAAAATAAAAGTACCAAAATAAAAATAAAACCTTTAAACATGCAATTTCATAGAAGATTCACTGTTTTAATTGACAGGTTGGCACTTCAATATGACAGTGACTACCTGTCACAAATCGTACATCAAATCCACACAATGCAAATCGGAAATGTTTAGACTCTACAAACCGACAAACGACAGAACAAACTTAGGCTCATTCTACCAAACGACTGAACGATTTTGTGTTCTCAACCCTTTTTACCATCTCAATCCAAAGCAGGACCACAAAACCGTTCACACCATAAAACAAGCAAATTTTCACATCCTTCACGTGGACAAAGAATTTGTCTTGGTTTATTCGTGTGAAGTTTGTAAAGGTATTATGGGAAAAACGGAAGAACTGGCTTTTGTTTTGTCACGTGTCCCGAAGCCAGATTTGAAGAAGGTCAAAAACATTGAGGCGAAACTACTTCAGCATCAAAGTAGAATGATGATGCAGGACACTTATGTGTCGGCGTGTGAAGACAGAGTGATTGATAATGCGGAAAAAATTAACACTGTGTTTGACAAAGGCCTCAAGTGAACTTCCGGAAATTATCAAAAACCCGATGTCGCATACAGCTAAAAAGTTTTTATTGGTAACAATGACAACAGAAACTCGTTCTTAGAATTTTCCAAGCTTTGTGATTAGTGAGCGATTGAAGTTTAATTGCGTTTCTGTTTGTAAAGAGCTTTTTTACTTGAAAAAATGCATGAAAACTAAATAAAAAGTACTGAAAAAAAACAGCTAAAAATCAAACTTATTGAATTAAGACCGGGCGTGGTCACTCATAGAGTAATTTCAGATAAGGTACACCGTCCGTTCGTCACGCTATCTTATTTTCGGCCGGATAAATTCCTGCAACTTCTTAGTCTAATACCAATCTTAATATTACTCTAATATCTCCTAGTCTCAATAGATCTAGTGTATACTGGTATTTGCGAATTAGTTATCTGGAACTTTTGCCAAAGGAGAACAACTGTAATCTAAGTTATTTTCAAATTGCTCTGATGCAGAATCTACGAGTAGTTTCAGCTCTACAAATAATTGTTAGTGTTAGTTATGGATCATGATTGGTTATTAAGAAAAATTTTATAGAGATAGTTTTATCAAGAATATAATTGGTTATAAATACTAGTTTTAAACTATTTCCACCCTTCCGAGGTTTAGAGAGTTTCAAGTTTTTTCAAATTGTTTATTGTAGTGAAGGATGGATGGAAAGTTTTCTTGGTTTTTGGAGTAGTTGTCTCTTGGAGCAGTGACTGCGTGAAGGAAGGAGAGATGTAGTTGTCCTCGTAGAGAGAAGGAGAACAGTTGTTCGTGTTCCAGAAGTGGGTTTCGTTTATTCTAGATTGTCATGAGTGTTCGTGTCAAGATTTCAGATTAACGCAATGATATGTTGATTTCGTTAAGCTAGAGCGAGACTAGGTGCAAGATGGGCTTTAACTTCACTGTGTGAAGAACCACGTGACTAGGATCAGTATGCGAAGTCAACATCGAGTTCGCTATTTTTCTTTTTCAATGGGTTTCTTTGCTACGATGTTGTGTCCATACTTCAAATCCTGTGAGGGTTGTGACTACGGCAACAAAACAAAAAATTTGACATTCCAAAGTCGGAACGTCGTCGAGTTTTCATCTCCCTTTGCTGCTCGTTCCGTTTGCTCTAAAAAAATTTTTTACGTTGCATTTTAAATATTTATCTTGTTAGTGAGATCAGTTTTACTATTGTTAGTGATATTCATTAGTTGTTTTCTTTAGTTTTGGTTAATTTAAAGATTCGCTCACCCTAGAGCAACTCTCGTCAAAAATTGAGTGTGTGTCATTAGCGCGATATAGCGCGGTGAGTTAGGCCGGCTATAGAGCATGCTCAGGAGGTCCTACTTGGTGGTGAAGCTAGGGACTATAGTTTTTTGTCTCTTTGAGCAGAGTACCTGAAGAAACCCGAAATTAAACCCCAGAAAAATTTGGTGGTTGTATTTTGCTTTTTATGAAAATTTAAGACAATTTATATCACCAAAACTGTATAACATATCTTTACGCTTCGGATTGTTGTAACTTTGACACCAAAATTTATCACAAATTCCAAAAACCAATGAAATCAACAAAAACTTAATCAAAAAAGTGGGGTTTGCTTGGATTTTTGAATCAATTTGACTAGTGATTGTCCAGTTTAACTTTACCAGATTGTGCTAATCAATTTGCACGGTAAATTAAGGAAACGTAGTCGAAACACTGAAGCTGAATATCTAAAATTGCAAGAAGTTTGTGTGCGCACAAACATTTTTACTAAAATTTAATTAACTTCAGATGAAACAATCAAATGTTCAGAAGTAGCTAAGGATTAGGTTAGAATAATAGTTACACAAGTTTTTAGCAAACATACTCGAAAAAAAATTGGTTAAAAAATTTCTTGGTAAGAACATTCTCGCTAAAAAACATAGCCATTAATTAAAAATACTTAAATATAAACAGTATATTAGGAATTTTTACGCAGTTGCAGCATCGAACAAGAATTTTCATCAGGTTCAATCAGAAACAAGGATTCTGAATGATAAGATGAGTGTAATAAAAAGATTCAAAACTTTTGCTTTTCCCAACAAAAAGAATGAATACAACGCTCCATTAGTTGCTTTGTTATGACTTACGTAATAAAAAACGAAAATTAAACAATTGAGAAAAAAATTGTTCAAAAATCCCATCAAAAATTCAAAACAAAATGGTTTAAGGGAAAAACTTTCCAGGAAACCCGCACTGAAATTTCATGGATAATAATCGATTAAAATGGATTTTAATGGATTTCCTTTTTTCGGAAATATTCGATTAAAATGGATTAAAAATCCATTACGTTGTCTAAGTTTACCAGAATAATCGTTTATATAGACAACATTTTACTGAACAAAAACCCATTATAATCAATTTCTATCCAAGAAACTTCAGTGCGGGAAGCTTTTGACATCTATTGCCAACAGCATAATTTAATTTTTCATTGGAACAAACTACAATTTCTCGTCTTTCAGTTTTCTGTCCTTTTTTCGCGACGGAGTTAACGAAACATCACTACGACTGTAATGCACCAGGCTCCGCTGATAAAGGAAGGCAGATGCTTGGTTGATAGTTTTCACAGTTCAAACATTCCAACCAAATGGGCTGTTCATCTGCAAAAGCAATCAGTACTGTATCAAACGTTTCCTTAAAAAATTGTGTTGCACTCTGTATTATCTTCGATTTGGCTAATCCGTGTAATAAAACATCGGAAAATATAATCCATTCGCTCAATATGATAATACGTTTACTGCGAACCATATAAGATATTGTTTGGTTTTATTTTCGTGAAAGTTTGCGGCCTAAAATCATACAAAAACTGACAGATTAAGTTCCAAAGCTTCGAGACATTGCATGCTTTTTAAAAGAAATAGTCAAAAGACGTGTTATATTTCACGGTAAAACTCATAAAAACGAAAAAAGCGCAGCAGAAGACAAAATCAAGTCGTTGCATAACCCGTTGTGAAGAATGTCTGCTCGAAGAGGTGCCTCAGAAAACAGAACACAAAAGAGCATGAAAACAAAAGATTATTAACTAGAATCAAAGTAAAATAATTTCTGGCAGTTTTGTTGTGGGTAGTTAATTCAAAAGTTTGTGGGTAGTTATTAAAAAAAACAATACAACCTTTTTACTGCCTGCTACTGCCCGAAAACAAAAAACAGAAACTTTTTGGGAAAAAAACTTGGATCTTGCTATCAAATTGAAAAAAATCATAAGATCGCTTTGTTATCCAAAACTAAGTAGTAAAAAATGCGATTGAATGTATTGACTTGCTGGAGAACTCTTTTGATTTTTTAAGAAAAAAAAGGTTATCACTTTGAGTTATGTTTAAAAATTTTCGTTGCCTAACAACAACTGAATCATTTGAGTTGATTTGTGTGTACATATCAAGGTAATTTTTTTTTCTTTCAGTACAATAGCAATTTCATATCAAAAATTTTGGAAACTGTTTTTACTAGTTTGTAGGACCATAGATAATTTGATGAATTTAGCTCAGAGTTGTAAATACTCAAGTTTACTATATATTTTAGAGTTGTATGTGTTCAAGCTTTTTGTTTACTTAGTTTTTGTTTATTTGTTTTGACCCCGTGTGTTGTGCGTGTGTAGGTGGTATATGGTGAGGAGGTCTCTCGCCTATCCGTATCCCAACCGGCTGGTGAACTGCAGATGGGACATCGGTTATGACCCCGACTGCAGAGCACTCGACATGGCCATACATTACGACCACACTGGTAAGTGTTAAAAGGTTCCGAGGGTGTAAAATGTTCCAAGTGTGTAGCTGCCCTTTTCTCAGAATTGGATCAAATCAAAAAAATCTGAATCTGTTCAAAAATGAAAACAAAAATTGTCATAAGCTGCAAAAAAATTCAAAAAAAAAAGCTTTAAAATATCCTTGTATTCTTACTATTGCTTTGAATGAAATACTATTGTATATTGATTGCTTGCTATTTTCTATTATAACGTGAATGGACGGCGAATTATGTCGAATCACTTTGAAATAAGGCAAGATAAAAGCTCCAAACAAAGCGAAATACATCTTTTTTATTTGGCGACTTCAATTTGATTTTTTTAATTAATCAAAACATTTACAAAAATATCTTTCAGACACACAATAAAACGTGCTCGTAGTTTTGTGGGTTTCGCCCAAAAGTGTACGAGCAGCATTGCATTTAAATGTGTTTTTTTCTTGGTAACTTTAACTCCAAGTACCAAAATGAAACAAAATAAAAGTACAAAAATAAAAATAAAACATTTAAACATGCAATTTCATAGAAGATTCACTGTTTTAATTGACAGGTTGGCACTTCAATATGACAGTGACTACCTGTCACAAATCGTACATCAAATCCACACAATGCAAATCGGAAATGTTTAGACTCTACAAACCGACAAACGACAGAACAAACTTAGGCTCATTCTACCAAACGACTGAACGATTTTGTGTTCTCAACCCTTTTTACCATCTCAATCCAAAGCAGGACCACAAAACCGTTCACACCATAAAACAAGCAAATTTTCACATCCTTCACGTGGACAAAGAATTTGTCTTGGTTTATTCGTGTGAAGTTTGTAAAGGTATTATGGGAAAAACGGAAGAACTGGCTTTTGTTTTGTCACGTGTCCCGAAGCCAGATTTGAAGAAGGTCAAAAACATTGAGGCGAAACTACTTCAGCATCAAAGTAGAATGATGATGCAGGACACTTATGCGTCGGCGTGTGAAGACAGAGTGATTGATAATGCGGAAAAAATTAACACTGTGTTTGACAAAGGCCTCAAGTGAACTTCCGGAAATTATCAAAAACCCGATGTCGCATACAGCTAATAAGTTTTTATTGGTAACAATGACAACAGAAACTCGTTCTTAGAATTTTCCAAGCTTTGTGTTTAGTGAGCGATTGAAGTTTAATTGCGTTTCTGTTTGTAAAGAGCTTTTTTACTTAAAAAAATGCATGAAAACTAAATAAAAAGTACTGAAAAAAACAGCTAAAAATCAAACTTATTGAATTAAGACCGGGCGTGGTCACTCATAGAGTAATTTCAGATAAGGTACACCGTCCGTTCGTCACGCTATCTTATTTTCGGCCGGATAAATTCCTGCAACTTCTTAGTCTAATACCAATCTTAATATTACTCTAATATCTCCTAGTCTCAATAGATCTAGTGTATACTGGTATTTGCGA